TCACTCTCTACCACTTGAACCAACTTGAACCAGCTCACTGCAGTTTATCTTTCTTTTCTGACATCCAACACTGAAAACCTTCAACATCACAACTTTGACTTTCAGATTCAAATTAATGATCCTGTTTAACACTCCCTTCATCTACACAACACATGCTCTTCCAGGTCTGCTCAACCTGGTCTTGGGCACACACAATGTTACTTCTCTCCTCATATCAACCAGATCCCTCCCTTACTAGTCATGGTCCATAAACCAATATGATGTAGGGGTGGCTGGAGCATAGGAGAAGAGGTAAAGCAGGTCATCTACTAATCGGAAGGTTGGTGGTTCAATCCTTGGCTGCTCCAGTCTGTATGCCAAATATTCTTGGGCAAGATAACTCCAAGTTATTCCCAAAGGCATCCATCGGAGTGTGAATGTATATGAATGTTAGATACAAACACCAATGCATAGGATGCTTCTATGAATGAGGCATGTTGTGCATGTGCTTTGAGTGCTCAGATAGAACAGAAAAGCCCTACATAAGAACCGTGGTACATAATATTAATATGGCCAAGTCTGGAGTCTGTAGGTCACTCCAAACCTCCCTGTTCACCCCGGCTTTGGACTGACATTAGGAGTGATAATAATGATTATAGTTATTGTAAATTTTCTTAAAACGACCAGACCTTCATTTGTTGGCATACATGGTCAGCATGATTTATGCAGACGTGTGAGTGTATGCACTGTTAGTAACTGAGGGTACTGATTCCACACTGGATCGTATAAGCACCATGGCATCGTGTAAAATGTGTATTAGTTTTGTTCTTTTGTTTTATTTCTTGAGTGATCACAGTGCATTTTCTGCTGAACCTCTGACAAAGTGCAGCTTCAGCATGGTCACAGAAGTCTTTTAAGTCTTGTTAGGTTTGTGCATATGAATTATTGATATCTAAAGAGGGACCCCCTCCTGTGCCAGCCATTCTCCAAACCCAACTCCTTTCATAGTCCCTAGAGAGATCAGCCAATCAGATCAGATTTGTCTTACTTGACTGATCCCTGAGAAACAGAGACTGAAACTCCTTGTAACCCTTTTGATCCCAAATAATGTCGTTATATAGAGAATTGCTGGTTAGCTGCCTGCACTTGTCATAGAATAATGGTGTTCTGTCAGGACAAGCAAGGCAAGCAGTGTTTGCCTTTTAAAAGCTAAAAATTGATATAAAATGTTCCAAATTAAGTTATCTCTCTCTTTTCATCTAAGACAGCGCTGTCATGAAGCCCCTCGCATGTCAATATGTGCATCCAGCTTTTACACTACTGCCATCTTGTGGCCACAGTCGTCTATTGTCGCTGAAACCTGCGAAAAGTCTGGTCTGCCTCTGAGGGCATGTTCATCTCCCATTGACAATGACTGCAGCTGAGGAAGCTGAGAGGCCAGCAGCTTGTATCTCGTGATTTATGAGGACACAATCTGGACGAAGCGCTGTTCTGTGACTTTACACTGATCGGAGAGAATCGGTGTGAGGCGTGTTTGCCTTTCTGTAAGAGCATCCCCTGCTTCAAAGAAATTGTGCCAACTTCATGCAAGCATTCCAACTTTGATGGCAGTTTGTAATGCACATACTGCAAGAACCTGTTTTCTTCTGCTTATCCACTTCAAGGTTGTGGGAGGAGGGGGTGGGGTGGGGTGGAGCCTGCTGTCATAGAGGCAGAGTACATTCTGGACAGGTCGCCAGTGTATCTCAGGGCTAACACATAGAGACTGACAACCATCACACTCACATCTACAGCATCATTCATGTCTTTGGAGTGTGGAAGGAGCCATGCAGACTCGGAGCCCAGGCAGACTCGGAGCCCAGGCAGACTCGGAGCCCAGGCAGACTCGGAGCCCAGGCAGACTCGGAGCCCAGGCAGACTCAGAGCCCTGGCAGACTCGGAGCAAAAAAAAAAACAGAAACAAAACACCAAGAAGAACAATTTGCAGCTGAATTAGGTTTCGTTTTGGTAACATGACTGGGTATAAAAAAGACCGTCTATATGAGCCAGCTTTTCTCAAAAGTAAAGATAGGCAGAGGTTTGTCAAATTTGTTTGTCAATTGCAAAAACTTTGAATATTTCATCATCTACAATATGCATGAATCAGGCTTACATTATGACCACCTGCCTGATATTGTGTTGAGCCCCCTTTTCCAGTCAAAACAGCATTGACCCATCGAGGATTGGACTCCACTAGACGTCAGTAGCAGTGCTGTAGTATCTTGCAAGATGTTAGCAATAATTCCTGTAAGTTGTGAGATGGGGCCTCCATGAATCAAAATAGTTTCCCCAGCATATCCCACAGATCGTTGAGGGGATTGAGATCTTGGGAATTTGAAGGCCAAGTCAACACCCAAACCTTATTGTACTCTTCAAACTGATCCTGAAACAGTTTTACGTTACGGCAAGATGAAATGTCCCGATGAAAGCCATAAAAGATAACTGTTTCAATGAAACTGTTTGCATCATCTGCACGACTGCTTGCTTGTACGAGTCAAGCAGGACCTAAGGTTTCCCAACAGAAGCCCAAAGCATCACTCTGCCTTAGCACAGTTGCTCTCTTCTCAAAGGGCATCCTGATTCCAGGTGATCCCCAGGAAAGTCTCACACACATGTACCCGGCCATCCACGTGACATAAAAGAAAATGTGATTCCTCAGACTACGTCATCTTCTTCCATTGCTGCAGTTTTGATGCTCACATGCCCATTGTTGGTGCTTTTGACGGTGAAGAGGGGTCAGCATGTGCACCCTGTAATCTGTAGTTATGCAGTCCATACACAACAAACTGTACTGCACTGTGTATTCTGACGCGTTCCATTCAAAACCAGCTTGAACTTTTTCTACAATTTGAGCTTCAGGAGCTTGTCCGTTAGATCAGATGACAAGGGCCAATCTTTGGTCCCCATATGCATCAATATGCCTTGGTGGTCAATGCCTCAAAGAGATTCTGGAGGGGAAAGCGGTGCTCTACCTGCACTGTGTATAGTGCTGG